CATCGGGCCTGGTCAGTATCTAGATGGGTCACCGCTTGGGAATACCATGGAACAGAATTCTTAGAGGATGCTTGACCATTTCAAGTCTATGATTAACCATTATCTTTCCTACATAACTTCATAAACTGCATTTCTTACCTCCTCCTCCTCCTCCTCCCTGATACTCATACATCATCATACAGTAATCCTCTACCTTAAGTTTCAATTGGAACTTGTATTGGGTGAGCATTAGTTAAAAAAATATAAACACATATATTCAAATTAAACCTTTTTTCTAAATATGTACAAATATTTTGTCTACTACTACATCTGTGCACCAAGTGCAAATAAAAGGACAAAATGTCAAGTAGCCAGTCCTAGTAGCAGTTGAAGTAAGAGGAGTTAATAAGAAGACTATCCTGTATTGTAAAAAAATGTCTTCAGCAGAAGAAACTGAAAAAAAAACATGCATACATAGACAAATTAAGTTAGGCATTTTTCTAAATATGCAGACATTTTGTTAATACTACTACATCTGTGCACCAGGTACAAATAAAAGAAGAAAATTTCAGCCAGTAGCCAGTTCTACCAGCATTTGAATTATGAGGAGTTAGTAAGAAATCTGCCTGTGTTTAACCTATTCTGTGTTGTACAAAAAATGCCTTCAGCAGAAGAAACTGAAAAAAAAAATCTATAAATCTCCTTAAATTCTAGAATATAACATTTTGGATTTACACATATTTGCTTTCTTTTTACTCTATGAATGATATTTTTACAAGGTTGAAATGTTCACCTTCCCAACTTTCCACAAGGGAAACTCTTATCTTGAATTAAAAGAAAGAACATCATCTGCAGATAAAAATATCAATAACTAGCAGTAGAGCTCGGTGTTGCCCGGGGATGTAACAGTAAGAGATAGATCAAGTATCGACCATCATAAAGACTGAAAAATAAAATTGACAAAGATTATTGTTTAAGGTTGACGGACACGCATGTCTTAATTAGTTTTTTTTTTTTTTTTTTTTTTTTTTTACGAATTGGTCAAACCCAAACTCAAACAAAAACATTGTTTTCAATCGTTATGAGTCTACCGATTGAATAGAATTTTATTATAAACAATTGTCTTGTAAATGGAATCTTTAAAGCATTCTGAATGTAAAAATAAAGAAAAAAGTATGCAAGACAATAAGAAACACTACCTGCCAAAAAAAGTGAAGTTTTGTTGAAATCGGTTGAAAAATGTAGGAAATCCGATATCATATATAAACGAACACACACACACAAACAACATGGGTTTTATAATAATTATAACTCAATATGAGTTGTCCCCCTTTCATTCTCGCGATGCCTCTTAATCGTGTTTTCAAATTGATTTCGTGCAAAAACAATTGTTTTTCCAATTTTTAGCGTTGTCAGAACCACCGCAAGGTAATTTTACGTGGTCCTGCGAAGTTTTGTTGAAATCGGTTGAAAAACGTAGGAAATCCAATCCAATATATAAACGAACAGACACACACACACAACCTGGGTTTTATAATAAGTATGATTACACACTGATAGACTACAGCAAAATGCTTCAAATACCTGTAAATAATGTTTAGATCTGAAAGATTTTTGAAGAAACTGAAAAAAACATATATACATAGACAAATTAAGATAGGCTTTTTTCTAAATATGCACACATATTTTATGTCTACTACTACATCTGTGCACCAGGTGTAAATAAAATAACAAGCTATATTCCATAGTTCCACCTGTCCTGACTTCCACTGTTAACACCTACTAGATAATATATACGAAGATAAATCATCCTCTTTCACTGTATTGCATTAGTAAAGAGGAAGTTCCATTCAGAAAGCTTCCTCCTAAGAACTCCTACTTTATAGAACAGAATTCTTCAAGTCTAGGTTTAACATGTTTAAGTCGAGAGTTAACCGTTACGTTCCTCAAATATCCACATAAACTGCGCCACGCTGCAATCCTCTACCTCGAGTGGCTGCCGGACCTTCTATAGTGTGAACCTCATTGTAAAAAAATATTAATGATCTGCCTAAAAATATGGATCTTTAGTGTATATCTTTAACGAAGTTAAGCAACGTCGGGCCTGGTCAGTAACCAAGGTGGGTTACCGCTTGGGAATACCAGGTGACTACCTATGCAGTTTATAGGTGAACATTCAAAAATCTAGATGACCAGAGCCTGGAAACTGATCTCTCCTCGGATCTAACTTTAACTGCTCAGGGCTTACGGCCACATCACACTGAAACACGATACGATAATGAAAGTTAAGCAATATCGAGCCTGATCAGTACCTAGATGGGTGACTGTCTGGAAATGTCATGTGCTGTAAGCTTGGATGTGCGAGTTGTGTAATGGATAATGGCTCAAAATTGTTAGCCGGAGAGCCGAGTTCTAATTCCTGTTGGGTTCGTTATATTCACTTACCCACAAATACCCTTATGAAATGTCGGAATCCACCTCTCCCCCAGCTATGGGTTAATTAGTAAGACTTGTATTACTAAACCATTATTATCTCTCCCACAAAATATTTTCTGGTGTAAAATAATCGGCAAAGGGTTGATAAGCCATAGAAAACAAATCAGTCGTTCAATCAATCTAACAGCTCAGTGAGGAAAAAATTGGCTGATCACAATCAATGGATAAAAAAAAAAAACTTGAATCATACCATCATCACCGAGTAGACTCTGATATGTATTCTCTTAAGAAGGCCTCATTGCTTTGAACGCATATTGAAACTAAAGCTCGCTCCAAACCAAGTGGAACTAGTATATATGCCCCATCGCTAAAGATGCTGGAGAATAGGTGTTTCCCTTTAATTGACTCCTCCTGCTCTTCTCTACCCTTACAAGAGCCGGATCAGGTCAAAATGGATTACTTCTGCCATATCTGGGCAACTGCTACACAGTCTCCAACTTCCCAGATTTGATAGAGTCCAAAAGCATCTCCGTGGCCTTGTGAGTGATGAATTGTTTTCCGCCTCACAACTACTTTCCCGTAGACGAAACGTTTCAAGCCTCTCGCTACTCTAATACTATTTTCATGGAATGAGTTATGTCTCTTAGATCCTCAAGATCTAACCCTGCCAGCTAAGTGTTTGAGAGAAAGGAAAAATCGGATACATCTTGGATAAGGGCAATTCGGAGAATGGCAACAAACTACATCCCTTGGTTCCGCCATGCCACTTACACAGTCGCAAATCACCCACATTCCCTCCGTATTCCATTGGTGAGAAGTCAGTTCTACTCAAACAGCTTCTCCCCTCGAACCACTGCCCTGTAGAACAGATTCAAACTTACATCTGACCTCAAGTGGAACTCCTATATATGATCCATTGCTAAAGATGCAGGATAAAATGATTGGCTCCCTGTACTGCTCTAGTAAGTACCTGACTCCTCATACTATCCTATTCCTTTAGAAGAGCCAGAACAGGTCGAAAATGAAGTACTGTTGTTATATTTGGTCAGGAGCTGCCCAGACCTCACTCTCCAGTATTGATAGAATTCAAAAGCATTTCTGAGCCATTGTGGAAGAAGAATTATTTTCCACTCTTCAACCTCTCTCTCACAGGCAGGATTTGGTGAACCTTTCACTACTCTATCGCTATTGCCATAGAAAGTGTTTGGACAAACTACATTTCTTGGTTCAATCAAGTCTAACCTTCATCGCTAGGACCTGCCATGACACTTATATAGTAACAAACCACCCACATTTCTTCTGCATTCCATTAGTAAGAAGTAATTTCCACTCAAAGAGCTTTTTCTCCATGAGACAATGCATTGTGGAACAGATTCCCAAGACAATGTTTCCCTGATCACTAGAAATCTTAACCTGTTCAAGTCTAGAGCCAACCATTATATTCCCCCAACATTCATATAAACTACCCCTTAATGTAACCCTCTACCTTGAGTGGCCCCTGGGCCTTGTACAGGGTAAACCTTACTGTAAAGAAAAAGGAAGAAAAAAATCAAGATATATTATTAATAATTTATATCTGTAAATTAAATCATATCATGGAAGTCGCAAGTAGAAATGTGGTTGTTTATATCCCTAAGATGAGGTATTATGACTACTTGCATTATTTACACTATTCAGACTGTTATCCTCATCTTCATTGCCATATTCACAACATTTCGGCCATTGTACGCTCCGGCCTTTATATCAATGTCTGTCTATATATCTGTCTATATCTCTGAGATGAGGTATTATGACTACTTGCATTATTTACACTATTCAGACTGTTATCCTCATCTTCATTGCCATATTCACAACGTTTCGGCCGTTGTACGCTCCGGCCTTTATGTCTATGTCTCTCTATATATCTGTCTATATCTCTGAGATGAGGTATTATGATAACTTGCATTATTTACATTATTCGGACTGTTATCCTCATCTTCATTCCCATATTCACAACATTTCGGCCGTTGTATGCTCCGGCCTTCTTCAGGTAGAACAAGAACAATCTACGCCGGTGGAACAGACTCCCATGAGGATGTTTGCCCGATTACTACAATCTTAACCTATTCAAGTCAACCGTTATCTTCCCCTCCTATCCATATAAACTAGCACTTAACGTAACCCTCTACCTCGAGTGTAACCCTGGCCTTGTACAGAGCGAACCTTACTGTAAAAAAAGCATCTCGTAGCCAAGTATGGGGAGATACGTTGACTCATTGGTGCAACAGCGAACATCCTTTGGAGACCAACGAAATAAATTGATTACAGAGACATAACATGAGATAACTGATAACTGACATCCATTAGACATGGCACGTGGAACTAGAACAGTCTATCCCAATGAGCGAAATAAAGGGTTCAGTTCGTTATTTCAACCACCTGAAGAATGCCGGAGCGTACAACGGCCGAAACGTTGCAATAAATATGGCGACAAAGATGAGGACAATAGTTCGAATAATGTAAATAGTGTACAGAGACATACATGAAAAGCTGACGACTTCTTCTGAAGTTCAAATTGAATTCCCTTAATCTTATAACTGCCATTAATGCCTGGTCTGTATCTGTGGTAAATTATAATGGTGGAGTGGTTGAGTGGACAAAGAAGCCGTTATAAACTTTGGAGAGAAAGACGCGAACACTAAATAATGCCCTCCCCCAAACGTCTAATGTGATAAGATTATGCACACCACGTAAAGAAGGCCGTAGATGACTTATCGGCATTGAAGAGCGTGCAGCAACTGAACGTGGGTTGTTGGACTGGTGTCTGGTAAACAGCAAAGAGACATCCCTTAAATACGTGGCAAAATTCTAAAGCCTAAAGCCTTGTATAAAAAAGAATCGAGAACAAAGAATACAGAAAAAGTGAACTAAAAGAAACGTTAAAAGCAACAGAGATAATGACAGTTTGAGAGGGTGATTAAAACAATTGAAACAAAGTGTTCGTGGGATCGGTTGGCAAAAGGCGAATTGAAACGTGAGATCAAAAAGCCTTACTGGTCGATGCCAAAGACCAAAGCCCTTAACTCTAATTGTGCCCGTAAGAACGTCTACCACCAAGTAGATTCGGACAGGTGTAGGCTGCGTGGCATGGAGGTGGTCACCCAGATCATTGGTACTTGTGGAATGCTTGCGTAAAAAGAAATACAAGTTTGGCCATTATAAACTGATCTCTTATTTGACTTGCAATAATGTGGGTCGTTCCTGCTACTTCCGCCCTAATTATCATCGCTTGGGGTCTATAGCGCAAAATTTTAAGTACGAGATTAAGTATAAACATATTAAATCCTACTATCCCGTCGCTTCAGAAGTCCGCATTGCTTTGCACAGAAAATAATCTGTGATAGGTGTTCTTTTTCTGAGGTCATACGACTTGATGGAGAACATCCAGAATGTAATTTAAGGCATGGGCTAAAAGGAATATATTCCTTGAGTCTATCGGAACCTTTTCCAATCAATCCGAATACTCCAACTACAACTGGAATTACACACTGATAGAACAATCAAAGCCAACCGCCCAGATATTGTTATTAAAGACCACAAACAAAAAAGTGCCTCCTTATTGATATGGTAGTCCCTGCTGACTGCAATGTATCTTTGAAGATATTCAAAAAGTTGTCAAAATACAAGGACCTTGAAATAGATATCTCAAAAATGTGGCATATGGGAACATCAACAATCCCTGTTGTAGTTGGAGCACTAGGACTGATTGGAAAAGATTGCAGTAGACTAATTGAAGCGATTCCTGGAAGTCCATCCCTCAAGGAGATACAAAAAATTGTTCTGACAAGTACAGCCCATACTTTACGAAGGGCTTTATCTTTGTAATTTTTTTTTTTTTTTTGTCAGTGGAAAGTGTCATGATGCCATTTCTAACCTTAAGTCCCTGGGCGGGACCCGGAAAGAAATGTGTAAACGCCAGAAATCAAAGATAATAATAATAATAATAATAATAATAATAATAATAATAATAATCGAACCTATACATTGAGAAGAACTTCGTCCATGTAACGCTAGTGATGTTATGGAAGTTAGAAACACAAATCTGTGACTATAAAAACACACTACAACCTGCCTTAGGTTTTCCCACAGACTTGGGAGGTAGTGTGACCATAGCAGAAATCGAAATATAATGGTGATAATAATAACAAAACAATAACAAAACTATACATATACAATAATAATAATAATAATAATAATAATAATAATAATAATAATAATAATAATGTACATCAGTAGAATGTGGCATTTCCGGACTCCGGTTTCCTGTTGTGATTGAGGCTTTCGGGAATTATATAAAACGGAATAAATAATTGCAAGGATGAAATTCCTGACTGTCCTAAAATATGGGGACTGCAAAGATAATACTAAGGCCTACTTTTCTCGCAGACTGCATAAATTTTCTCTCCATTCAGTCACATTTTTTCTCTTTGATTGCATGGTACCTCAACTGTTTGCATCACTTGATACCAAAAAAAAACCCTATAATCTCTTGAAGTCACTGGTTGAGACTTGGTGGCAACTCGTATAACACAAAGCAAAAACAAAAAACAATAATAATAATTTCCCTGACTGACTCTCATGGCGACCTCTGTTAGCAGCAGACATTGCAATAACTTCAATATAGTCTTCCACTTCATCTCAGTCGAGAAAAAGCTTTGACAAGAAGGATTTCGTACAAAGTCACTGTTCAGACTTTGCTTGATCGGCAAGACGTCTTCGTGACTGAGTCGGTTAAGGCACGTTGGATCTAACGACGGTTTCCCTCTGACCAGGACGACGCAGGTTCGAATCCTACCGAAGAGCGCATATTTTTCTTTAATTCAGGCTGGTAGACGAAAATAAATAAATATACTGTTTAATAAATAAACGAGGCGTCTACTCAAATACGTGTGTCCACTAAAAATAACGTTTAAAGTGATAAAAATAACTAGAAGTCCACCATTGATCCATGCTTTGAATATTGCTGCCACACATGTTCCGGTGCTCCTGCTATAGATTTAGAGATTCTTCATAAAATACAAAATAGAATCTGCAATATTATTGGTTCTGACCTGGCATATCGGCTTCAGTTACTTTCCCACTACCGTAATGTAGCTTCCTTATGACTTTTCTATAAATATTTTTATGGTATTTCTTTGTATGAGCTCTTCGCTATGCTTGAATTTAGGCAACCCCTCCCGAAATTAGGCTAGTTTAAGTTTGTTTTTGAATCTTTAGTTTCCTTTTTCAATAAACTTAGCTAGAGTATGCATGCTCATTGGCCCCTTTTATTTCTGTCCCTATTTTTCTTTAGTTTAATTCCCCATCCCCTCCCTCGTTAGGTGGTCAGTGATGTCAGTTCTCTGGTAGATTCGAGGCGCATTTCGTTTCGCGTGTGTGTTTTCGTATTTGTTGTTGTGTCTGAGTGAGTGTGTGTCTGTGTGAGTGTGTGTCTGAGTGAGTGTGTGTCTGAGTGAGTGTGTGTCTGTGTGAGTGCTTGAGATGAATGATTGTTTTTATAATATTAAAGTCCCGCATTGATTTCGACCAGTTAACTGATGTTTCTGCCACGTTTAGTGATTGGGGGGGGTGGGGTATACTAATATTATTTTGTTTAGTTTCTTGTAAATAATTTTTGTTTCATATTGTAAATACTCATTAGGGCTAGTTCTTAAAAGTGTTGTTTTTATTCCCCCTCCCCCACAGACATTGAATTGTACATATGCGGACTACTTAGGACTTTCATAGAGACAATGAGGTATTACGATGGATGTATTAAGAAAGGTAAGTAAAAATGCGTTGTTTTGGTGGTAGGAATATTGTGGTATGTTTGAGTCAGTGTTTGTGGTTAGCTAAGTTTAACGCTAAGACAGAAAAAGACCGTCCTTTTCCCCATTCCCCATTTTGGCCTTGTGCCACATTTTCTGTACCTAGCAGAAATAAATATCGCTCTTCGCTATAGTACCTAGACTTTATGAATTTAAGCGCATGCTAGATTGATGGCAATATCTCAGCAGTTTACAGTTGAATTGGCTTAATGTAACCGTAAGTTCTATGCTAACGGTTTCTTTTCTCACACTTCTCGCCTGTGGAACTTTCTTCTGTCTCTCTGCTTTCTAGCCAACTTTGATCTTCAAAAATTTAAATTCAATGTCAATCGCTCTCCACTCTTTGCCTGATTACTCTCCCATTAATCTCGATCCTTAGTAATGCGTCTCTTTCCTTACTCTTTCACACTAAATAACCCAGATTATCTTAGTAACACCCTTGTATATAAATCCGATATAGATTTAGAAATGTCCCAATGAGAGATGCATTCTTAATTAGGATAACTGCATTTGGTTTTGCTGTAACGTCTTCTTGTGACTTAATGGTAAAGATTTGAAGCTTTTATCCTTTTCTAAAGAATCAAAAACTCATATATTATTTTATCTATTTTCAGATGCAAACATGAAAATAAATTCCTTCTGCGCTACCTAAAACACATCATGACCAACAAAAGTAAATTAAAATCCGAAAATGCGTGGGTGTTTATATATATATATATATATATATATATATATATATATATATATATATATATATATATATATAAAGAAAAGAACAGCAAGATATATAATCCGGTGTTCTTATAGATATTTTTATTTTTACAAAATAGTGCTCAATATATATATATATATATATATATATATATATATATATATATATATACAGGATGTCCATAAAGTTCGTGTGCACTTTAAAAAAATTTTAACTTTATTTGCATTTGCGATAGAAATATTTTGTAAAAAGGATTAGAAAGAAGTAAATCTATATTTTTTAAGGTTTTATTGAAATTTTATTTAAGTATCCACATGTCCGCCATCGTTAGCAATACAAAGGGTAATACGATTTTGCAGTTCACGTAAAACATTTGCCAACTGATTTACAGTAATGTCTGAAATCACATTAGTTATTTTAGCTCTACTTAAAACTAGGTACATTAAACTTTACAACATATTTTTACAGATTATTTCTATCGCAAATATAAATAAAGGTATAAATGTTTTAAAGTTCACACGAACTTTATGGACACCCTGTATGTGTGTTTGTGTTTGTGTGTGTGCATACAACAATCTGTTCACATCTATATATATATCTCAATCTTTTCATTTTATTTTTTCTTCGATTATTATTTTCATTTTATCGACGAAAACCTTTTTTCTCTTCATTCTTTACGGATCTCAAGAAACGACCAGTGTCATTCATTTTAAAATTCTATCCGCTTAAAACCAACAAAAGTTCAATTCGTGTCGGATTAAACTGTCCCTGTATTCTTACAATTCTAGGCTCAGTGAAAATTTAAAACACTATCACCAACCATACTCTTTTTTTCTCTTTCTCTTTCTCTCTGTCTTCCTCTTTTTCTCCCAATACATCCAATTCTCTCTCTCTCTCTCTCTCTCTCTCTCTCTCTCTCTCTCTCTCTTCATTCAAATACACACACCCTCAAAATCACTTCACCCTACCGTCACTTCTTCCTCACCGTCATTTCTTTCCCTAAGTTCCTTCTGGATATTTCCGGAGTTAGCCGAGATAAACCAAACACCAAATTGGGACATAATGGTTGTAGTTGATCGGGAATAGAACTATATGGCTTGAAAATCAGCGTTCAAAATCCTTGAAGCTGAATTGTTGAACTCTCAACTCCTAGAATTGAACAGTTAGACTCCGGATACATAGGAATGAATTATTGCGATGAAGGCTTGTACAGAAGAAACCACACTTTTCAGAAGACCTGAATACAAGATAATTGGCGAATATAGCGTACCCACAAGGTCTCGAAACACCTCTAATCGGCTTTTGATTTCAGAATTCATTCATCCTAGACTGATTGCCAACAAAAACTAAAGATCCCAATATGTCCTAATATTACTATTTAACCCATAGCGAGATTATAAAAAGATGGATTCATATCTTTCAAAAATAAGTAAATGCAACGAAATCGACTGGGATTCGAATTCGTTTCTCCGATTCCGAGACGCTATCATTACACCTACCATCCACATCCATATATATATATATATATATATATATGTGTGTGTGTGTATATATATATATATATATATATATATATATATATATATATATATATATATATAAAGTGAACATAGAAGTCAACACTTAGAGGCGACAATCTGTTTCATGCTCGACGCAATCGTCAGTCTACGAGTGCTGTTATTTTTCTCGGCTATTTATATATACGGGTCAGTGTTGCATTGTGGGTAGTCTATTTTGGTGGTTATTTTACCCAAAGTCGTTTATTTATTTATTTATTTATTTATTTATTTGGCTTAAATTGTTTTGCTTATCATTATATATTTTTGTTTTTATTTTTATTTTTATTTTATTTCTTATGATATATATATATATATATATATATATATATATATATATATATATATATATATATATATATTATTTTAATCGGTGTTTTTATTCACGTAGTAAAAATTTCTTTATATAGCTTATTTAATAGTTTTGTTTTGGTTTGGGAAGATAAAGCTATTTATTAAATTTTGGGGATGATTGTTGCAGTTTATTCTAACTATTATTTTATTATTTTGGCGGGTGCAGTTTTTAACTTGTTTATTACTTCATGTATTTATCTGAATTGATAATCTTTATTTGTTTTTTCTAACGGTTAATTTATCGGGATCGGTTTGTTAGTTTGTTTATTGATTTATTAGGATGAATTTAGATTAATTTATTTTACTTGTTTTATTATTTATTTATTATACTGTATATTTTTATTTACTCTTTTCGATTTTCGATTTTTAAGTAATGTAGTATTTTTTATCGTTATATAACACTTATAGCTACGTTTTTCGTCCGATTTTTGGTTTTATTTTTACAATCTAACTTATATTTTGGTCATAATGGTTTGTTAATTTGTTTATTATTTACTTTATTTATTTGGATTCATTGATTTTGTTTTTTATTTTTTTATTCTATTTCGTCTATTCTAACGGGTGTGATTTGTGTTTCGCATTAAGTTTGGTAGGTTTTCGTTTGTGTTTAAATGAGTCCTAATTGACCTATGATCGGGTAGGCGTCACGTTAGTGTGTCGTCTAAATAAACATGCCATTATTTATGAATTTGGTTTGATCAGGAACACAATTCCTTAAAGGGCATTTGAACTCGTAAATAATGTTTGTTCTTTGTAGTTTTGATTTTGCCGGTGTGCTGTTATTTTTGATGATAAGGTTAACTGTTTTAATTTTTTGTAATTGATACTTAATTTAATTTTCTTGTTTAGGTCGACTGGGGTTGTGTATTTCTTTGTGATATTTCTAAGAGAAAGTTCGTCTTGCTTATAGTTAACATTTATTTGGCTTTTGTAGATGTTAATGTTATTGTTTTTATCTTTATTTTCAGTGTCATTATTAGTTGCTTTAGAAAGAAATAGTCTAATCTGGTGGTCGATGTGGTAGTTAGGAAAACCATTATTAACTCACGTCTGTGTTAAATTATTGAGTTCTTTAAGGAAAATGGGACGAGTGGATGAATTCTCGTGTGCTCTCTTTAGGAAATTTTATAACTGCTATTTTATATCTAAGTGGGCATTCATTCTTGAAATTAAGGCGGTAAGAGTTTCTGCTAGTGGGCTTTTTATATAATAAAATGGTGAATCTGTTATTACTGAATTCTACGAGAACGTCTAAGAATGGGAGTTTATATTTTTAGACTCAGTTCCTAGGTAAAGTTAAGAACAAAGTTTTTTCGAATATGATTTTGAGATTATTGTTTGTTTTTCGCAATAAAATATAGCGTCTACATAGCGGACTTATATTTTGGGTTTCGCAACTTGTTTAAATATCGTGTTTTCTACATGGGACATGCACTAGTTGGAGAAGCACAGGCCGAGAGGATTTTCCATACTAACACCATTAGTTTGGATGTAGATATTGCCATTATGCTCGTAGAAAGGAACTTTAGTTGTGCAGGCATGCAATAATGTTTTTGGGGATATTTGGTTTGATGGACAGAGGTGGAATGAAATTATTTTTATAAAAAGCGTTAAGGG